AATAATTTTAACTATTTAAAACCAACGTTCACAATGAGATCATGTCACACACAATCGCCCACGCACAGGCCATCTATAGGCCGTCCAGCAAATTATAACCAGTACGAAGGCGTTTTATTATCAATATTGTAACAAAGTATAATAACTTCAAATCAATAAAACTCTACACTTTATAACCCAAACTGACCATTAACATGTCAGAATTATAAGATAACTTTTTATTGTTTGATCATGTATCAAATGTATTGGTTATTAGAAAAGTATTCTATTATTCTGCCTACATATTCAGCTATTTTAATACATAAAAATAAATCTAATCTATACAAACTTAAATATGCCGCCGGACATAAATGGAATTAATGCCAATCGAAGCAATTGTGATATTACAAAGTTATTTTAGGAAGGGACTATTGACGATAGCAACTGCAATTTTAAATTGGTTTTATATTTTATGTTTTTATTTATGGCTGATATGACATTCATTAATTTTACAATGTTCAAATTAGTGTTACATGGATTTGACACTTCTTTTTTAAGCTTGGAATTGTAGTGTTTGACCTTGACAAACTTCACAATCCCATATAGGGTTGTCAAGTTGTAAAGTTCGATTCGACCAGGTGCCGACTAGATCAACAAGGTACAGCGGAATGATGCAAAATTTGACATTTTCAATACACAGCCATTTATTTCGTCACCGAACAAACAATGTCACGTTTAAACTCCCATAAATAAGCCAAGCATCAAGGGCCTTATTACAGAGCCATGATATTGCGAAAAATAATTTATCAAAAGACATAAATCTCTTAATTTCAGATGTTTCCGAGGTCATACTCATGATAACTCTTTGAACGCACCTTCAGTAATTATACGCCTTTAAAATAACGACATTTCAACACAGTATACTTTATTGAGTCATATTTTGACAGTTGCCAAAATTGATTCTTTTAAGTGATTAAAAATATTGCTACTAAAATTGAATCCTTCAATTGATTGAGTGGATAGATGATTGACGCTTAATTCGAAATGGTTAGCGAATGAATACAAAATGAGTTAGTAATTACAACGATATTAGTGTTTGCAACCTGTATTAAAATGCATCCTCTTTTAGTTTGGCATAGAGTTAAATTATGTTATTTTTAAACATGATTATAAAGTCTCTGGCTTTGCACCTGGCATTTACTTAATCGTGAACAAAACAAGAAAGTACTCCGTACACTGTTTGTGTACGTTGGTTTTTATAACTTAACGGTAACTTCATAGTTTCGAAACGTGACAAGTACCAAAGTGATTTTTTTCGAGTTATATGTCTATGATTATTTAGACACCACTGACAAACAGTGAAGTGAAACATCGTAAGGAAACTTGGACTTATATTTTTTTATTATATGTTTGAAATCTCCAATCCGCCTTGAGCAAGCGTTGCGATTAAAGCTCAAACCTTCTCCTTCTCAAAAGGCAGACGCCTTCGCTCAGCAGTAAGCACTTATCGGCGGACAATGTAATGATAGAACAGTAAGCTCTCATGATCTAAATGTTGTATTTTCTATTGTCGTCTTCTAACTTTGCTTACTTGATATAGGAAAATACATAAGCAATGCTATGTTTAAAGTACGTACGTAAACAAATATATAGCATGAAAATAAAGCCCATTAACATTTTATGTGCTTTACACGTGGATACACGCGAGACACAAAGAATTTTCTATTGTGTCTTATTACCGACACTCAATGTGTGTTGATCTCCTGGCCTTTAAAAGCAATTAATCGAAGAAGAAAGGCATTACAAGCTATTACTAACAGTTATACTAATAATAGGAATCAAGTGTTTGCAAAATGATTGCCAAATAATCATTTTGATCGCTGAAGGATGCCCCAGTCATTATTCCTAAATCGTAACGGACGAAGGCCGAAACTTAATGAAAGTTTCACGAATTATATTCAGACTTTTACTATTTCAAAGATGTATTTGAAAGAGGAGTCAAGTAAATACAACATAATCGTGATTTTATAAATCTAATCACTTACAATTTGATATTTTAATATGGGTGAACTAGTCTAGTTTTCTTTTGTAAATAGACATTCTACATTGATCTTTTTACAAAAATAAATTCATTTTAGTAATGTAGTAGTGTTTTAGTATACACTAGAAGAGTTAGAGGTTAACACCTTCGTAATTTTATGAGTAAGTATCATGTAAGCCATGGTTGGAAGGACCAAAAAATCTTTAGTAGCGTTTGCCTTATCTAAAAATTTAAGAATAACCCCTTGCAAGCCAACACGCGCAGTGCAAAAAAGTTTACCCTAATTTTCAACGAGCTAAATTAAAAGGCAATACGTCAAAATAATATACATGTATGCCAAGTACAAATAACCAAGGTAAACAAAACTATAAATATAAATTATTCCCTGAAATCGAAACCGTGTATCCAAGGACCACAATAATTTTATCTTTTTGACGTTCAAAATAAATCAGCTACTTAAAATCACCCTTTGAGTTGTAAATCAGTTAGGACCACGTGATCCACTCATATGAGTGAAGTTGATTCATCTCGTACCGAAGGACCAATTAAAGGTAAAAGTCTTACGTAATGTTGTGGTGTCATAAGACCATAAGAAGTGCCCTTATATGGCATGCCCATTCGATGCGTGGGGGCAAACACATCCTGTAGGTAAAAGAATGTGTATAATCATATCTTATACAAGAATTTAAGCATTTTTTGTAATACGAAAATAGTTTTTTACTTGTCTGGGTATCATTACATGGTGGTCATGTGAAAGCCGAGTTTGTTTAATAGACAAACTCGTATTTGGTACATAGACAGAAAACAATTGAAGCTAGATTCCTACCACGTCATATTTTAGAAAAAAAAAAACTCTAAAGGTAGACGTTAAAACTTCATAAAAATAAATCCGATAACAATACAAAGTATTTTAAACTTATCAGTTAAGATATTAAGATTTATAATACAAAAATACAAGTCGTGTCTAGACAAGAAATAAAATTTCCTAAATACGTATAAATTAGCTAGAAGTGCACTTTTTGCATTCATTTTTTCAGCAGGTCCAAGATATTGACTAAATTTTTATTCATTAGCAATAAATTTTAATCTCATTAATCGTCAAAAAATATTTTTATTTCAAACATAGCACATTGTATAGTATTAATCATATCACGATTGTTTTCTATGAGCAGTAGAAGTAGTTTTTTTATTAAATGATACCCTTAGATTAGTCTGATCTTTTGCCACTCGCCACACTATATTCCATAATATGTTTGACAATAATTGGTTGAATGTCACTATGAAACCCATTCATTGACTTTGCTATTTCGGCCCATCCCTAAAAGCATTTTTATATAAACACGGAAGTTCTTAAGTATGGATGCATGTTTGTTAGTCTTTCACTTATAAACTTCAGAATGTCGGTCCTTGTAACAGCTTGGAGTTGTCATGCTCACTGAAATGTCACACTGGCGGTGGCATGGGCACTGGATCGCTTAATTCCCTATAATATGGTTGAGTTGGGCGATGCTGGTGTACGTGTCATGCTCGTGAACGAGCGCCGTCAGTTGGGACTGGTCAGCTCCAGACTGTCTATTGTCCTTAAGGTTACTTTATTTTTATATTTGAATAAATATTAGTGTTACACTGTTCTCACATAATTGAACCAACTGTTTGTAAAAGGAATCTGTATGTGAAACTGATTTAAAAAGAGTAACCATGGAGTTTCTTGCTCGTTCTTCTCCATCGGAATCTACACTTTGGAACGAGCAAATAGCTTCACTAAGAGGACTGACCGACAGACTGACACTATTTTTTATTTTAAATTTTGTTTGACGTTCAAAAGTGCCTGTAAAGGTCTAATTGGAATAAATGATTTTTGACTTTTGACTTGACTTAACTACTCTACGGAACTGAATGAAATTTGGCAGAAATATAGATTGTAATCAGGAGTACATTAATACGTAGGCCCCTTTTAAATTAGTAATGCGGGCGATGAAGCACTTAGAATCTTGTTAGGAATAATAATAAGTATATATTAACAAAATTTAACACTTTTAAATATTTTGAACCAAGACCAAGAAGGTAATTGAAGTATTAACGATTATAAAAATACATATAGCTTGACTTTACTATTTCGGCCCATCCCTAAAAGCATTTGTCTAAGAGTCTACTAGAGTCTACAAGGGTGTCATGGAATACCCTTACAGAAGTGTTATAGTTATTTACATATTTCTCTTATTCTTTTATTTAATTTCTTTTTCTTAAACGTTTTCCTTTCGTTTAGCTAGATGCCCAGCCAATACGGCAAACGTGCAGTCGATTTAGCCAAACCTGACACTCTTAACTTTATACAAAGCAATCAGGCCATCTATAATTAATTATAATTACCATCTTATTGTTGCAATATCCAGAATGCCGTTCTTGAGCGTTAAGTGTGAACATCCCATCCGGTAGCTAATTACCGTAATAACCATACCTAATGGCATTATGCGTAATCAACAGTAAAACTCGTGATACAAAATGGCTTGGTACATGTCGATCGGTCGATGAGAAAAACGAATAAATTTTATCGAGTCTTTGACCCCGCGGTAATCGTTTTAGGTTTTGACCATACTAAGTACTTGTAAAAGGTAGGTCAGGAACTTTTCAATAATTTGTTTTTATAACATTTTAAACAGATGCTAAAAATAGTTTCGTTTTACCATTATTATATGTAGTAAAGTGTACTTGTGTTCATAAGTGCGCTTGCGCGCTTGTCTTTTGCGTTCATGTATGCGTGCGTGCTTGTGTGTGTGTGTGTGTGTGTGTGTGTGTGTTTGTGTGTGTGTGTGTGTGTGTGTGTGTGTGTGTGTTTGTGTGTGTGTGGGGGGGAGGGTGTTGCTTATTTAAACACACACGCTTTACTTCATAAACTAATACCGAACGGCAGTGTCTTCAGACAATCTTGTGGTACTTTTATGATATAAGAACTATTACTAATCATATACAAAGTTCTTACCTGGCAGCCGGTATCCACATCAGCATAGTATCCCGATCCTCGGCCTAAGCATGTGAACCTCGTCAGCGGCACTCTAGGCTTCAGGTCACTCTGAAACAAATGAACAATCGGTTAGACACATTTACTTATTAAAGTACAAGCTACACGCTCCGGCTTTGCACGGGTGCAATTCCGATAGTGAATTTCTGCACTGTGTAATGGATGTATATATTATACATAGAAATCTCCGTTCTCAATCACTCTATCTATTTTAAAAAAAACGCATTGAAATACGTTGCTTACTTTTAAATATTGCAGACATAGTGATATAAGGACAAAGAACGGGACTATATGTCGTGGTGGCCCGGAGGTTAAGGAGCCCGCTTCTCATGCATGAGGGTGTGGGTTCGAAACCTGGCGAAAGTACCAATGTGACTTTTTCCACTGACATACGGTAAAGGTAAACATCGTGAGGAGACCTGGATTTATAATTTCTAAATATAAGTTTGAATCGCCAACCCGCATTGAGCAAGCGTGGTGATGAATGCTCTAACCTTCTCCGTATGATAAGAGGCCTTTGCTCACCAGTGGGCACTTATAGGCTGATGATGATGAAGCCCGTTCCATAGCATAGAAGAACTAAAGCCAGCTTAAATCAACTAATCAATGTATGTATAAGTAAGTATCTTTTAAAACCAACCGAATGAAACGTGAGTTACAAAATAGACGCATTAGAGAAACACATTCAAACAAAACTAAATCGAATCATCTTTAAATTGAAAGAGCATAAAAGGGTCAACGTTAATGCGTATCCAATGTTGCATACAAAAACATAATGTCGGTAGCTTTTAATATTATATCAATACTTTGAATAGTTTATTTAATTGATTTCATTTGAAATGATTCGAAACAAAGGAAAAAATATACTGATGATGATGATAATGATAAAACTATGAATGTAAAGATAGCTACATACTTCACTTTCTATATAAACACGGAAGTGTTAAGATGGATGCATGTTTTCCAAGCATAAACTACTGTACGGATCTGAATGAAATTCGGCACAAATATAGATTGTAATCAGGAGTACATTAATACGTTGGCTCCTTTTCAATTAGTAATGCGGGCGAAGTACATACACATACATATGTATTAACCAAATTAAACAGTTTTTTTACTCTTTTTTAACTTTAACATTTCAAAAATAATATCAAATAATAATTGTTGGAACAACAGATCTTATACAGAGAAGGCCCAAAATCCAAAATTTTAATCATAAGCTATTGAAAAAAAATGGGTTAGGCAAGAGTTAACGAGCCGCTACTAATACTTGGAAGATGCGGGTTTTTCTAAATTAGCTAAGACGTCACTGACACACTGGACCTGTACTTATAATGTAAAATTATAATTTTAAAATCACCTATACATAAGCTTGATGATTAATGCTCATGTCTTCCCCTAGTAAAAAGAGACCCTTGCTTAGCAGTGGGCACTTATAGGCTAGTTACAATGAAGTCACCAAAAACTCATGATCAAAATAACAATTTAAAAGTTTTAACGACATAGCCTTTCAATCTTTCGCCACATTAGCCGTCTTTCGTCTTCGCACGGGCAGTCATTTAAACTCATTTAATAAGTAATAACGGGTCATTCGACAGTATCTGAGAACTCTGCAATGAAATTACGAAATATCAGCTAATGTGAATTGTGTATGTAATGCAAATCATTGCTAAATTGTTAATTGATGTTACGACAGCATTTATTTTATTTCACGGACCATTTTCTAATAGGTAAAAGGCTAATCTTCCGTTTTATTTGTTTTAATTGTTGTCAAACAAACAAATATAATATTAGGTCAAGTTAAATGCATTTTTTGTGTAATCTTTGCTTTTCAATTGGATTGAGTAAGTGAGGGGATTTTTATATTGTACTAGTTTCTGCCTGCGGCATCGACCGCACTGACAGGCTAAAAAGATTTCAATCTAATCCGTTCAGCAGTTTTATGTAAAAGAGTAATAATAATCCATTGTTACACGTTGTTAACAATAACAATACTTATTTTTTCGACTTTATTGTTATACAGTATATGAAATAAATAAAATCAAAATTAAGGTAATCACGAAACAAGTAAGATTCGTAAAAATACAGTTTTTTTGTAACTCTAAATTAATAAAGATTATAAAAAAAATAAAATTTGCCCACTTTCCCTCCAAAACCGCATTGAAATTCAAAACACCACAAGAATAAATCAACTCGTTAACACCGACGACGGTGTAAGCGGCGTCAAAATGGCAATAATATGCAAAGTTCAAGTAATATATTTAGTAAAGCCGTCACCTTCAAAATTGAAGCTTGCAGCTGAGTATAAGTGGGCAAACTATCTGTTGCCCAACTCAGAATAATACTACATGTGCACATCTATTCAAACGGCACCGACTTTAGGTAATGCGTAGATAAAGAAACGCAACTATTTGGAAATGAAGAGCCAGAAATCTGCCTGTAAGCACACGCTTAATTAAATGCTTTGGCAAATAGGTAAGTATTTGAAACGATTTTAGAATATTTTAAAATATCATGATTGGTAATAGACCAATCATGATATTTTAAAATATGCAAAATGCTAGTCAAGTAGTGTTCTTGCAATTAAAAAGTCAATCAGACTTATTGTTTTGTCACTGGAACATTTGCTGATGACACAGCTATTCTTTCGGCAGACACTTCATCAAACGTTGCATCACAAAAACTCCAAACTAGCCTCGATCAAATATCCAAATGGCTCAAAGACTGGAGAATCAAAGCCAACGAAACCAAGTCTGTCCAGGTGACGTTCACCAACAGGAAAGAAACATGTCCTCCTGTCACTCTAAATGGCATACCTCTCCCGCAAGAGGACCATTCCAAGTATCTTGGTATATATCTGGATAGACGCTTGACATGGAGAAAGCACATATTTACGAAACGGCTGGCCATGGGGCAACAGATACGCACAATGCACTGGCTATTCAGTAAGAAATCCCAACTCTCAATGGAGAATAAACTGTTGGTATATAAATGCATAATAAAGCCTACATGGACATACGGCCTACAACTTTGGGGCTCAGCGGCGAAATCAAATGTTGAAATCATCCAAAGGTTCCAGTCTAAAATGTTAAGAATGATAACAAACGCACCATGGTATGTCTCTAATAGCAGACTTCATCACGACCTCTGTATAAATACCGTAACGGAAGAAATTTCAAAAAGGACTGAAGCGTACAAGGTTCGAATCACAAATCATCCAAACAAGCTAGCAGTAAACCTGATGGACACCCAAACAGTCGCTAGGAGACTGAAGAGAAAGATACCGCAAGACCTCATTTAGGAGACTATATAAATAATCGGGGCAGTCATTGGATAGCCTGCGTGCAAAACTATTACACTCTCGAAAAATATTGCTGAATATCTGCATGATAGATTGCAATTATACCAACAAAAAAAAAAAAAAAAAAAAAAAAGACTTATTGTGCCAGCCTAACCATAATTACCATCTTCAGAGACTCCAAAAATGGTTTCACCAAGTTTTAAAAGTCGGCAGATTAATCTGTAAAAAATACTTTTTATCAAAACTCATATTGTAATGTAACGCACACATGAATTCGTCAACGAACCACCTCTTTTGTGAGGGGTAAATCATCCAATATCTTCTTTCGCCCAAGTCTTTGTTGTGAGGGGAAAATCATCAAATGACTTCTGGTGGGGCGAGAGGAAGTGTCAGACTGTTATTGACTGAAAACCTCTCTGTTCCAAGCCGGGCCACGGTACATTGTTGTGCTTAACCCCCAACACATTTAACTCTATACTTAAACCTTGTTAATGCGATTTCAATAAACTTTTTAAGAAGAAACGTTCAATTGTTTTAGACTGTACCATTGTTTGTCTTGTTCGTTCAAGTGTGCACAGGCATGTCTATTCATTCTTAGACTATGTTGCGCCATTGCATCCCATCGACTTACTGACGCGCACTCCTCATAAAGATGTCCTGATAAACTCCTATTGTCAATATACCACTACTACCATTGTTCAACTAAAAAACAAATTTACATTTACATAAACCAACAATGCATTTCTATTGAAACATGCAAAGAAAACTTCTCACAAATCGTTTTAGAGTTCATTTTAAGAACTGCAAAGTTAAGTTGGTTTGATTTCTGCAAGGTTTGCTTGGGAATTTTTATGTTGACCGTTGTGTTAGTTTCGTAAAGCTGTTTCTTCTTCAGTAAGTACCTAATTCTCTTTGTTATGGCCCGACTGTGTTCTAATTTTGGACAATAGATAAGCTTTGTGTATTTTAGTCATTTCGAAATTTTGAAACTACGAAGCATTCTTGCTTCGTAGTTTCAAAATTTCGTTACGTACGTTTCGGTACGTTTTAGTGTGGAAGAGCCATGCTTAGCCCATTGCCGGATCGACCACAGTGATACCACGGCCTCACAAAAACCAGGGTTGTGTTTAGCCTAGTTAGTGTGGTTACCGACAGCCCAATACTTTCTCTTTCTTCCCGAGAGAGAAGGGGTCCTCAATCACCAACTCCCCAAAGGCACTTTACCCCGAAAGGCCGGCAACGCAGTTACAACTGTTCTGGTGTCTGTGTGTCCGATAAGCGGGGTCGATTGCTTTCCATCAAGTAATCCGTCCACTCGCTTGAACGTGTTACATAAAAAAGAAGTTCATAAACGTACATAATAACTTATAACTGAGTTTTTAATGTCAAGAAACTATTCAAATCAAGTAAATGATCAGCCTATTTTTAGCCTTATACATAATAAAATAGAGAATATAATTTACACACAATTTTAAACATAAGACAGACACAATCAGCAAAAAAACAGGTTACATATTCATAGAAAATCACATATAAAGAGTAACTGGTAATTAGTGTCTGATATTTAAAAACACGTGATTGTACTCATGATAACAAACTTTCCCAAAGAAAAGAAGTCCTTTTCACTAATAACCTGTCACTCTGTATACTACTAAAACTTAAGACTTTTATTATCACGTAGCGAAAGAAACCAATATAAGAATTCCAAATACAAACAGGAAAAAAAGAACAATAAACTAAAAAACAAAGA